CAGTCCGGGCAACTGAGTGAGACTCCAACTCAAAAAAAAAAAAAAAAAAAATGCAGATTCTGATTTCGGTAGGTCTAGGGAGAAACCTATGATTCTGCATTTCTGTTCCCAAATACTGCTGCTGATCTGTGGTCCACACATCAGCCTCACCTGGACAGCATTTACAAAATACTAATGCCTAGTCAGGCCTGGCTGGGCATGGTGGCTCTCACCTGTAATCTCACACTTTGGGAGGCAGAGGTGGGAGAACTGTTTGAGTCCAGCAGTTTGAGACCAGCCTGGGCAACATAGAGAGACCTCGTCTCTACAAAAACCCAAAAAATTAGCTGGGCATGGTGGTATACGCCTGTAGTCCCAGCTACTCAGGGAACTGAGGCGAGAGGATTGCTTGAGCTCAGAAGTTCGAGGCTGTGGTGAGCCATGATCATGCCACTGCACTCCAGCCTGGGTGACAGAGTAAGAACCCGACTCAAAAAAACAAAAACAAAAACAAAAACAAAACGAATGCCTGGGTCCTTCGGACCAATTGCATCAGCCTCTCTGGAGGAGAGGCTCAGGCGTTTTTTTTTTTTTTTTTAATTGTAGAGATGAGGTCTTGCCAAGTTGCCTGGGCTGGTCTCAAACCCACAGGTTTAGGCAATCCACTTGCCTCAGCCTCCTAAAGTGCTAGGATTACAGACTGAGCCACCAAGCCTGGCTAAAAGCGAACTCTTCTAATTAATCAACCTGAGAACTTTCGTTGGTATTTTTTTTTAAGCTCCACAAAAGATTCCCATGTGCAGCCAGAGTAGGGAATCACTGCCTTAGAGACCGCCTACACATACCCTCTCTGTAGAGATGGGGAAACCGGGGCTGGAGAGGGTAGTAACTTGCTCATGTCTCACCTCCTAACTGCCCACATTCCCATTCCGTGTTCTTCCCCCCAGGACCAGCAAGTGCCACAGCCTGGGCCTGGGAAGGAGCCCTCAGGCTGAGGGTGAGGCCTTGAGGGCGTTCTTGCTTTCCTCGGGAGTCTACACATACCTCTCCCAGAGGTGCCACTGCAGGACCAAGTGTTGCAGGAGGCCCTGGCCTGGGCTGTGCCAGGATCCAAGAGAACTCAGGGAAACTCCCAGGAATGTGAGGCTGGGGAGGGAGTGAGTCATTCTCCCACTGGGGCTTGGAGAAAGCTTCAGAGACCTAGACAGCTCTAACATTCTTCCTAAAAAGCCACTTCAGGGCTGTCAGAGCTAAGAAGCTCAAGAATGTTTGGTAAGTGTGGTGGGATCATTCCAGACTGAGACCTTGGATGGAGACATTGTCTTTTCCATTATTTTATTTTTCCACATGGAAGAAGCTCAATTGCTTTCCTCCAATCACAAAAGTAGCACACCAGCATTACTGGTGGTGATTACCAGAACAGGAGGAAAGCAACAGTTCTCGGTAGCTGGGGACACTTTGGTGTCCGTAGAATTGGTCTGAGACTTTGTACAGAAACAGTCTGTGTCCCCCACCCCCACTCCTCGGCCTGGGAGCTCTTCGGAAAGGAGAGGCCGGTCAGTGACTCATCTGTGTCCCTGGCCCCAGCACAAGCCTGGCCCTGAGCCGGCCATCAGAGATCTTGTGAACTGAAGTCAGTCTGGAAGCAGATTCAGAGAGTTTGGGCTTCCTTTTCCCTTTCTGGGCCCACCACAAGGCTGCTGGGGCCAGAAAGGGTTTGAGGAGGCCTGGTCCTAGGCCCAGCTCCAGCAGAGAAAGGGGAAGCCAAAAAAGTGACCCACCTGTCTGATCGTAGGATGCCCATGCCAGGTTCTCCCCACACTGGCCACGACTGGACTCCGGGCTGTGCTTGAGGATTCTCGTGCTGGCCAGGGCCTCAGAATACCTGCCAGGGGCCATGGTGCTTCCTCAGAGCGGGCACAGCCTGGGGGCCTCCTGAAGCCTAAGCCCCAAGCTAGTGTGGCTGAGCTTCCTTCCCTGTCTGGGGCTCGCAGAGGAAACAGAAGAGCATCACACCTGCGTGGCTTCTGAGCCTCCCAATGGTCCCATTTCACAGAGGAGCAAAACAAGGCTCAGAGAAGAACAAATGAATCTGCCCCGGGGAGTGGCAGAGTGGCTATTCAAGCTCGGCCATAACTGACCCCAAAGCCTATGTTCCCCCAGTCACCCGGGGCCCCCAGTCACCCGGGGCGACTGCAGCAGCAGCACCGTGAAGAGCCGAGTCACACAGGGACTGGGGACACTCACTGCTGGGCCTCCTGGTTGAGCTTCTTACAGAGCTTCAGCGGGGGGACGCCGTGCTGCTGCCGGTACTCATTATGGGCCTTCAAGACCTCATTGTGAAACTGCTTGGAAGCTGGAATGGCGGCAAAAGGGACAATGGCTCAGTGCAGAGAAAAGACTAACCAAGGTATAATGGCATGCTGGAAGCAACATGCAGTTCATACCTCAGGCCACGTGGACGGGCCGCTGCTCCCCCTCCGACACCCTGGCCAAACGGCCCTGGCTCTACACTGATGCTCAGCCGGCCTCCACCTGACATTGCCCCCTACATCTCTGCACAGCTCCACCTCACACATCATGCGGGGCATTATGGGCCCTGTCAGGGACTTGGGTCTTTATCCAAGGCAGCAGGACGCCACTGAATGGGAGTAGGGGGGTGGGCAGTTTAGAGTTGTGTTTCTCAAAGACTGCTGGCCACTGTGGCAGATGTGCTGGAAGACAGAGCAGATCTGGGGGGCTTGGAAGGTTGGCAACAGGACTTCCAGAAGAAAAAGTTGGAAGGAGACTGGGAATCTCCGACTGGATCTATGGTGAGTGGTGGAAACTGAAAAGGGCTAGAGTTGGGAGTCCAGAAAGAAGCAGCCTGGCTGGGGTGGAGGGTGCCCATGCTGGTTGGGTGAAACCAAGGAGATGAGGGACATATAAAGAGACAAGAGAAGGGCAGGGGAAGTGGAGCATGAGGGTGGATTTTAGGTGTCAACTTGTCTAGATTAAGTAACACCTAGAGACCTGGGAAAGAGTTATTTTGGGGAGCATCTGTGAGAGTGTTTCCAGAGGAGGCTGGTGTGAGAGTGGGTAAGTGGGGAAGGTCCACCTTCAGTGTGAGTGACCACTGTCCAATCAGACAACCTGAGGGCCCATGCAGAAACCTGCCACAGAGTCCCCAATAGAGCAGTACCTAGCAGAGCCATAGAAGTGGGGTCACTCTCAGGACCCTAGAACTGTAGAGCTCCCATCATGCAATGCTAGCCTCACAAAGCTGCAGGCACAAGACTCCAACCTCAGAGAGCTGAAACATGAACTGAGCCCTGCAAAGCCGTAAGGTGGGGTTGCCTGAGGTCTTGGGGACCCAACTCCCACCTATGTGCCCAGAAGGTGGGACATGGTGTCAAAGGAGATTATTCTCTAGCTGTGAGATTTAATGTTGTTTTCCCTGTGGATTTTGGACTTATGTGGGGTCAGTTACGCCCATTTCTCCCTTTTGGAAGGGCGATACCTACTGCATACCTGTCCCACCACTGTATTTTGGGAGTAAATAACTTGTTTTGATTTCATAGGCTCACAGCTGGAGGGAAGTTGTCTCACGATGAACTGTACCTTGAATCTCACTCATTTCAAATTTAGATGAGAGTTTGGACTTTGAGTTGGTGCCAGAACAAAGTAAGATTTGGGCTATTGCGAGGGAACGAGTGTGTTTTGTACGGAGAAGGACACGAGTACAGGGGAGCCAGGGGCCGAATTCTATGGTATGAATATCCCTCCAAAACTCATGTTGAAATTTATTGCCAGCCGGGCTCGGTGGCTCAGGCTGTAATCCTGCGCCTTGGGAGGCCGAGGTGAGTGGATTGCCTGAGCCCACGGGTTCGAGACCCGCCTGGGCAACTTGGTTAGACCTCATCTCTACAATAAATCAAAAAATCAGCCGGGCGTGGTAGCATGTGCCTTTAGTTCCATCTACTTGGAAGGCTGAGGCGGAAGGATCGCCGGAGGCCAGCAGGTCGAAGCTGAGGTGGCCGGGAGCAGCCACTGCACTCCAGTCTGGGCGACAGAGTGAGACTCCAACTCAAAAAAAAAAAAGAAATGTATTGTCAATGTAACAGTGTTGAGAGATGGGACCTGTAAGAGATGATTAGGTCACAAGGGCTCCTGATAAAAGAAGGAGTTTGGCCTGATCTCTCTTTCTCTCTGTCTTGCATGCTTGCTTCCCTGTTTTGCCCTTCCGCCATGGGATAAGATAGCACGACCTTGCCAGATGCTGATGCCATGCTCTTGGACTTCGGAACTATGAGCCAAATACACTTCTGTTCTTTATAAATTTCCCAGCCTATGGTGTTATAGCAGCATCAAATGGACTAAGACACAGAGTAAGAGTGTAGAAAAGTGGTGCTGATGGGAGAATGAGTGGTGTGATCAGCAGGCCCAGGGCTGCAGTGGGGAAAGAGGTGACACCCATGCCCAACTGCGTCACAACCTCAGAAAGAGCAAAGTCAAGGAAGCCGTGGTTAGGGAGAAACAAATGGGTGAAGTCAAGGACAAGCAAGGTCAATAGTGAACAGAAAGCACACCGATTTAGATCTGAAATAATCCTTATCCAAACATCTTCCATCTATCCATACAGCATCTGTCCAACATCCACCACTCATCCAATACTCATCCATCCATCTATTCATCTTTCATCCATCTGTTCATTTGCTTTAAGTGCCAAGTCCTACACTGCATGCTAGGGTTCCATCAGTCATGCTCTACTTTCTTTTTTTTTTTTT